TCTATGATTCTATGATTCTATGATATCTTAATCAGCAACATTAAACATTAGCATTTAGACTCTGATATTGGGGCATATTTCTCATTTTCTTGGCTTCCATCATTTTTATCTGTCTTAGTGGATGCTCAGATTCTTAATAAAAATCATACTCTAGGGAGTACAGATGCTGTGTGTGGACTCTACCCCAGTCTCCCCTTTCACAGCAGTGCAAAGTCTGCATTGTAAGGGTGTAACATGGAGCAGCTGAGGACAGTGTACAAACACATTGCAAAATTCTGGATGATATAGTCTGGTGATGGTGCAAAGTTACACCTCCTCCCAGACAAACCCCAGGACATAGTTGTTTTTTCCCTTCTAACTGAAAATATTCTATTCTATTATTCTATGCTATGCTATGTTATGCTATGCTATGCTGTTCTGTTCTATTTTATTCTATTCAGCTTTGTGTATGCAAAGGCTCAGCTACAGCATGAGAGGACTGGGACTGAGGTAGTGTCTAACTTCTCTCATCTTTCTGTTTGCACCATCCTAAATGACTGGGGTGCCTTCTGGAGCACAGCTGACATCTCACACCACTGCCAAAGTTAGGGGGTGAAGACTCCCTGCATCTTCCTTTCCCATGCTCATCCCTTCCCTGCACCTATACCTTCCTATGCTTGTGCGGATGCTTTTGGTGCACCTGTGTCTGGTAAAAATAAGGCTTCTGGGAGGTGAGGCAACAGTCACAGGAAAAAAGAGAATTAGAAAAAGGGCACAGCCTTAACCGGAAAGAAGGAAATAGTTAAAAAGGAGCCTGAAGGGATCAGAGCAAAGAACAACCCCATAGGAGTGTGACCCGGCAGTGCAAATGGTCCATGTGAAGCTTTTCCACCCAGTGGATCACTTTGCTTGTAAGAAACAAAAGGAATCTCAGGTCTTGCATAATTTCTCAGAACAAAGCAACTGAAATGCTACAGGAGCCAGCAGAAGCAAGAGGGAGAGGGGATGAATAGACACCAGGCTGCACTGCTTTTGTCTCACTGTCAGCTCTACGGCAATTTTAAACCACCACTTGGTTTGCATGTCATTAACTATGAATATCTTAGTCTAACATGGAAGAGAGGAAAGTATCTCGGAAGCTGTTAAACAAAGGGCTGAAAAGATACAAAAGGATTCATCTTTGGGAAAAGGCCATTCACTCCTCAGCCTAAAGGAACTGGACAAATCCACGTTACAGTCCTCTGTGAGCAAAAGTCTTGTTTTAAAATATTTCCATATGTACAAACTGACAGCTACTGTAGGCATTTTCCAGCTGTCATACTTACCAGGGTTTATATCCTATTTGCATAGCACCACTAATTACCATGAGCACTTGACAGGGAGTCTTTGGGCAGTTGCTAAATTGAAGAGTTGGAACCATTTATTTTTACCTAGCACCGATACACTATCGCACTCGTCGTAGTTGCGTTCTGTAAAGCTGCATTATTCAAACCACCCATTTTCCTTTGATGTTACTGGCTGTGGATGTTTCTAAGCAGAAGTTACAATTAAATGCAGTTCTGAAGTACAAAGCAATGCGCAAGAAATTATGTTGAATCAGAAATGCCTAGCAACTAGAATAGGAAAATTATTTTTTTAAGAGAATTTGGGTAATCTTGAAACAGATTATCCAGACATATGACTAAAGTCTCATGTTGATCCATAGGAGCTCATTATTATTTTTCTAGCCTCATGGACATAGCCAGATGTATCTCAAACCCTATTTTTTTGTTGTTGTTGCTGTTTTGGGGGTTTTGTGTCCACAGGGCCTAGAATAACCAAAGCAAGTAAAACAGTTTTCTCCTTGAAACATTAGGATACGTTCTGCAGTGATCTCGTTCTTCTCCTGTGCCTCCTGGAAGTTCATGCACAACTAGAAGTGTACTGTTACCTGATGTTACGATCTGTGACCTGAGGAGCTTATTTTGTGACATTAGTTATGAACACAGATTGTGGAAGAGCACTCAGAAGAGAAGGGTCAGGGCAAGTAAGGACGTGCAACAGCACTAAGGTTTTGTGTTGACTAACTTTCCACGTGAAGATATAATTAGGAAGGAAGAACTGTGAGGAGCAGGAGTGAACAAGAGGATGCTTGCGCTGTCATTAAACTGTCAAAAGGTGATACAATATGTTGAGAAGAGTAGAGCTGATATGGAAAAGACACAGAAGGAAATGAGAAAGAGAGGTGATGTGGGCAAGAAGAGGCCATTTCTGCAGACAGGCTTTGACTTGTCTGAGAGGCACGATGTGAGCTGAGTTGTCAGGGCTGCCAGCAGTGCAGGCACAAAGCTGGAGATGTTAAAACATAGGCAAGAGTTTTAGTGCCTGAAATGAAGAAGAGGAGAACATAGTGGGAGAAGATGAGACAAGGTTTAGGTCTCATCTTGTTGTGTGTAATAGGATTCATCATAAAATCCAATTTATTATTTTTTCAATTATTGAAGTTACATTTCAATGAAAATAACCAAGTTGTGCTAATACCAGGATATCACAAAGGTATGGAAGGTCTGTGGAGTTGAGAAAAGTACCATCCCAAGCAGCAGGAAGGATGTTTATATTGTCAAGCATTACAGGAAAGAGGAACGGAATAAATTTCAGCAGG